CAGGACCACAGGCATGACTCAGGACCTGGAAAGAACAGTACAACACTTCTACATCCATGATGTTGCCTTTTTGTACCAAGCGTAGATCCACCATCGGTTTAAAGCACAGCTTCAGATGCAACTTTAAGGGAATTTTTATTGCAAAGGTAGGAGTCTGATCTGGATTACAGTCTCTCTGGACTTTTTCTTTAAGTTATTCACAGAGACTCAGCTACATTTCAAAATGCAATATTTCATGTTATTCCCAGAACTTTTACAAGACAAAAAAAAAAACCAGACCTTTTGCATCCAGCCCTAATTCTACTACACAGTGTTGTTAATAAAGCAAGAGGTTTCTATGCAACTTTAAGACATGTACACTAAAAGAAATTGCACATATATGAATTTACTTATGCCTTATTCTTTAAGGCTATCTCATGTAAGTACTTGTTTTTATAGCTTAATCCTAATAACTCTCATAAGACAAGTTTTGAAACCCTGTATATGAATCTCTTATGATTTGCATTTCAGAAGCAGCACAATTTTGGGAAGACTGGTAGAAAACTCAATACTTCTTCTGTTTCTTACTACCTTCTTAGGAGCTTTTTAATCATGTGACTTAATAAGCTGTTTTTACATCATATAGTCAGCAGAGAGCCGATCTGAGGTGATGATTCCCTGTGTGCCTAACTGCTGGTGTGGTAGCTTCACCATGTCATTGCTCCCAAAGGAGAGGCGGTTAGTCATCACTGCCCACCGGCAAGTGACTCATCCCCCATCCTTCACAATGACATACACTGGACAAGAAGTACACCGCCTGTCACTGCATTGAGGATGGCTCTAGAGACCTGAGCACAGGAAAGAATATGTATTTCATGCTGTAAACAATTCAGATGACAGCAGTCACATCCATTATAAAAAAAGCAACAAAAAGAAAGCAAGAGCGACATGCTACACAGAACCAAGCCTCCAGCAACAAGCCATCTCTGATGAGTCTATAGAGAGTGGAGTAGCTAATTGTTTTGGAGTCACTTTTTTCCTTTCACAAGAGTTTTTTTGCATCAGTTGTCTCTGATGCTAGTTAAAATCTCATCCTCGGTTTTGCTGCTTTATTACAAGTATTTGGCTATAAATACCTCTTCCATGAACGCTACCGTATGCTCGAGTGGTGTTTGAGACAGCTTCCCAAACTGAAGGTCCTTTCTGTTGTTCTCCATGCCAAGGCATTCTGTGGTCTTCCTCATAGCACTGACAGCTTTCTGCATCACCTCACGTGGCACCTGAAGCAAGTAAGATGCAGGTTATCAGTTTGACAGTGTCACTGTTGCACTACTGTTTAGGCAGAATAAAGAAGATGAGGAGAGCCTCCGCTGCCATCAGAGCTCTCCAACAACTGATGCATCACAGAAGTCAAAATCTCAGCAAGTTTTGTTGGGACTGAGTGGAGAAAGCAAGATACATAAACAGGCAAGTTGTAAATCCAAAGAATGTTTTCCAGATCACCTGTACTAAATGAACATAAATACACGCCTTAGTCTTCCTCCTAAACCTGCTTTTCCAGCTTCCCTACGGATGTTCATTGACCTTCTCCAAGCCTAACAAAGGACCTTGGACCTTGTCCAAGCCTTTGGGCTTGGAAATAGGACCATGCCAATCACCTTTTGAAAACTATCCCTGGATACTCCATACCACCTTTCATCGGTGCCATATTTCAATATACATAATTGCATTTAGCCATCTATATTCTCTCTGCTCTGCCAAAAAGCCGTATATTCTCATCTTCCAGAGAACCTGCTTTGTAGCTAACAGATGCGCAATCAGGGTCACGCTTCCAGACACCAGTGAGGTTGCATTTTAGGACATGAGAGGAGACTGCCACAAACATAACTCCGTACACATGACGCCTCCTTAAGTTAGTGGGAACCAAAAGAATATTTCCAACAGCATAATCTCACCGTAAGTTATGTATTCATGTCCAAAAATGAACTAACTTTTCAAAATCTTGTTTGACAGAGCTCTGTATTTCATGACTTGGTGGCTGCTGTGAATTCATACTGTGAATTTCACTGCTTGCTCAGAAATTCAGAATCTGAATTTTCATTGAAGCAAAATACTTTTAACCTACCTGGAAAAGTTAAAAGCCGTAACTGAGTACAGGCTGCACTGGCTGTAGCCTGGGACCATGCCAACAAGAGATCAGTTCACTCCGCCACACCAACAAGCACATAGAGCATTAAGTGACCCTGATGGTTAGGTTGCAGCCCACTGAATGCCATCAGGCAGAGGGCTAAGAGGGACTGATGCAGCTCCTCAGCAGAGGAGTAATCCCCTCAGAGAAGGTCAGCATGCTCCTGGCATAGATCAGCAACTAGAGGTAAGAAGCAGCAAGAGTCCTGGCCGTAGCACAAGCATAACTTTGTTGGTAGAAGGAGGGGGGGGAGAAGGGGAGCTATGCTATGTACAACTAAAGTTTTCACAAATTTTCCGGTCAGACACTACATTCATGAAAACAACTCATTTGTCACAAAGCATTTTAACCGGGACCAAGCTTTACACAGTTCTTACAGTTCTAGTTCTCAACACAGATGCCACAGAGCCAGTACGGCGGAGGAGAAATCAATGACCTTTGTCAAAGTAAATGGCACAGAAGATCTTCAAAACCACATACATTCAAGGGCGGGAAGGAAGAAGAGGACGGGAGGAAGATTGCCACTGTAAATCATCAGCATTTCTACCCCTTGGTTTCTATCACAAAGTTAAACTATTCTTAAAATGTATTCAGCTTATTTGAGAAGAGATACAGGTGCAGCCTCACGGTGATGCAAGGAAGGGTTACACGAAGAGTTAATTTCTGAGCCTGCTGGTCAAACCAAGAATTCGGAATCAGCTTGAGGTTTTGTCTTTTTTGTTTCGGGCTGAAACTGTATTTCATTGAGAGACGACGTTCTCACCATCTTTGCTGCCGCTCGCTACGCTCTTCGGACTTTCACAATAACACAACCCTCGGAATTGAAAAAAAGAAGCACAAACCCGCTGCTTTCTCCCACTATTCACACTGGGCGGAGGAACAACAAAAACCTTCTAAATTCCATGGAAAAAGCCCACCACGAGCCCGCCGCGGTCCCCCCGCGGGCCGG